TTCATGTCACCCATTGATATTTGATCACATTGATCATATCACAACAGTATGAATATGTCACCTATATTCTCCAGGAGAATGATAACAAAGTGATATTTTCCCAGTTTTTTTACGTCGTGAGGTGAGGTGACTCTCTTCACACTGGAATTCATCCGTACTGATTTGAATAACTTCGAATGTCGTCCTTCAACTCATTAATTATTCAAACAATCGTCTGCGTTCTCGCAGCAATCGACAAAACGAGTTCTCGTTTCTTGATAGCGTTACGGTCTCTTATTTATCATCTTGTTTTATTTATTGTTTCATTTCAATACGTGTTCATTGATTATAGGTGAAATGCTGCATTCCCGTTCGTTAATATTTATGTTTGCTGTATCAACGCAAAACTGAATCATATTTTTGCTTCAGTCTCCTTGGTCCCTTTTCTCATTGGTTATCATATTCAGTAAAGTGATCGGTGCTGATGTATAGCAGAGAAATTTTATTTATTACTAATGAAAACGATCAATTGGTGCCAGATGATCACTTAACAAGTCTCTGACAAATACCCGAAGTATCTGCGACGGCCAGTTCTTCATTTTTGAATTCGCTGTTATTGAGTTTATCAAAAAAGGTTATCTGCAACACATTGTTTTTGCTGGTAGCAGTACTGCTCCACTAGACGTACACTCAGCTATTATTTGAAGGATGAGTGGATAGTCGAGCTNACCTCTGTTGACTGTAACATTTAATTCCTACTGCTTGAACTTGTTTTTAACTCGATTTACCAAGATAAACACCTCTTTAGAGTGGATCCCGCGTACAATATGAATGAAGCGAAAAACGGTTTGGTATGACCGTGATGAAATTTCAAAAACTAAGCGAATAACGTGAATTGCATTTGAGGGTAATGTGCGTGCAGAGGACATGTAGCGAATGGTTGATGTGATTGATGAGAGCAGTTCAAATGATCGAGATGAAGTGAAATGCGTTCAGTTGAAACATTGCTGTTGCACTGTCGATTACAATTATTGTCAGGAGAAAAGCGATTTTGATTTCGAGGTTAGCTTGATGTGTGGAACCTCATTTGCGATTCATTCGCTTCATTGTGCAATGAAGCATCCAACAACAATCTGTATGGTCTGATCACTTCAATTCGAAGTAGTTTCGTTAGAAATAACGATGATCATATAATTACTTATCATTAATTTGTTTATCAGTGCACTTTTCTAATATGATTTGATAATGAACTTTTCGTTTGGATTTCCACTCAGTTATTATTATTGTGTGATATCAACGGATTCGAGTTTCATAATGAGTCTTCGATTTAGCGAAAGAGATTCCGTCACAGAGCATGTTTTGGTCGCATTCACGTGCAAAAGCTGTCGTCATATTTGATAGTGATCAAATCGATGTTGATCATCATTCTGCTGATCACAGCGATTGCCCAGAATTCGGAAACGTTCCTGATTTCAGGTGATTCTTCATCGCATCGAATCGCCGCACTTAAAGAAACGAAATGTAGCAAGATTGAGAAGTTGCGATGAACAACGTTCATCAAGAAATTTCTCGTTTTGTTACCTCATTTAATCTGATCTATCTGAAATAAGCCTGAATCCACCACAGTTCGATTGCTTTGTGCCTATTGTTTATGCTACGATTGAAAACTCAGTTCTCGCAACATTGACCTAAAGTTTAGGATCAGCCATAAATTCTCGACAATCCATCAATTTTTATCGGTATCCACCAAATTTACAGCTCTTGTCAAAACTGTCATTGCTTAACGAACACAGTACTGTATTGACCTTAACGATTATCTTATCAAGTGTAAAATTATGCATGATTCTGAGTCAAATTTAGACGGAATGAAATCAAATTGCATCGAATTTTTAGAAGCTTTAAAATGAAGTGATATATTTTGCTTCCAAAGAGGGTTACTTAAGATTCCATCGCGTTAATCTCGACAGTTTTACATAACATTTTGTTCAGTGTGCTCAGTTGGCTTGTTCCTGATGGTAGCAACTTATACGATGTTTATGATGGGTGTTTGGTATCAACGGTTAAATTATTTGGTGCCATATTGGTGTGTCGCTCATCTAATAATTCTCGTATTAGTCGTTCAAGTATTCATCGACCTTCTAATGATCGCTGCTACAAGGCACACCGCTGATAACTATCAGACATTCTGCATTTGTGCAAAGGTTTTTTTCTTTTAGAAATTGAAACTTTACAAAAAGTCACACCAGTTTTTTCCATTTTTCTTGCGGAAAACAAACGATTATTTGAGAGAATGGAAAATAAAAATCGAAACAAAGCCTTTTCAAAATCCGATAAATACCTCCTCACATCATTTTCCTTATTTTTGTTGATTTCATCAGCTGATGAAATTGCTCATACTGCTCACATTCGCAATAAATCTCTCATGGTGCTCATACTCGCACATAAAATCCTTTTATAACGACCAATAAGCACTCATTCATTCCCACAATAACAAATGCAGAAAAACGATACTTTCGAAGTGGTGGGTATCTTTCAACTTCAAACGTTATTCAGTGCATTTGCAACGAATGTTACAGATCTTTTGGATTGCATTCGAACTGTACACAGTGAGGATTGTCTGGGACGTATACGAATATGTTTGCGATTTGCTAGCCGAAGAGGAATTCAAAGAATCGACACGACTGAACGATACAACCGATGACGATACTGATCACAACAATTATCACCGTTCGAAAAGTGCCACTCAGTTACCAACGAATCATTCATCTAATTCGGTACTGGCAAATGAAAGTGACACTTTAAGGCGATCGTATTCCCTCTCATATATGTATAAACACACTTTTATTTGATGAAGTCTAAATGCTCTTATGAGATCAGCTATTCAAAAAACTGATTATTTATCGGCCTTTTTGTTCAATCAAATTCAACGAGATTTTCCGAAGACAAAGTTGTGCTTCATTAATTCAATGTGTTTTGTTCAAAAATCACTGTTATTACATTATGATGGAATTATTTTATTACGAATATGGAATAGAATCTTCGTCAACAATAACAATAACAACAACAACAACTAACAAGATCAAAAACTGTTGATTATGATTTGAAAAGAACCATTTTCTAATGAATACATAAACAAATGAATGGATACACCCCAATATACAGCCATGCATTTTCAATTACTCTGTTCATATTGAGCACTTTCATATCGCTCAAAATAACGAAGTAATAACAATTCAAACATCTTTCCTTTTGAAGCGATCCAATACCGACTTCGGTGCATTATCGTCCTCGTGTTTCGTTTCTTTCGTGCCAAATAATTTCGCCTCAGCTTCTTTCCTTTCTTCGTTAATCGCGAATCGCATCTCAGACTGCACTCCTTGTTTGCGTTGTTCCTTGAGCAAATTCAAATGATATCAATTTTTCGAACGGTAATGATCAATCTATCAGTCAATCAGTTATTTATTAATAAATAAAATCCTGATCAATCAGTTGCCAGAGGGAAATTTCGAACTTTCCGTCATTTTCAATGGACTCACTCTCAGACGATGAAAGGAATCAGAATTAGCCACATTTCTTGAATCTGGAAATAATGGCAAACAATTAGATTATCTAATAAAAACCTTTTTAACGGCACCACTTCGGCCTTTCTTGCGGTGTTTCGGTTGGAATTTTACATCTCTTGGCCTCACGTACAAAATGGTCTTCAACCGCTCATTCTCCTCTTCCATCAAATTTGTATTCACCTGCGCAATTGCTGACGTATCCAGTGTGATCAATTCTGGTTGTATCTGCAAACAAACTCATTAACAAACCAAGAAAATCAATGCGATTATAAACCGTATCTGTATCAGTATAAACGGCGAACTACAGGCACACTTTTGTAGAATACATAAAAGTTTCCAAAACATCTATTGAAGCTCAGAAAAACTCAACTTATGTGTGTTCAGCTTCCACAGCCGTGGAGGATTCACCGTTGTGAAAACTGACCATGGATGAAAAATAAGGAGAGTTGGCTTTTTAAAGGATATTAAAACAATGAAAATGAAACGAATTTACTTTATCGAGCAATTGTTTCACTTCTCGCTCACGTCGTTGCGTCTTCGACTCGTACGGATTCGCTCGTAATGCATTGAAATTTGCCTCACCACAACCTTTAAAAGTGAAATCAATCACGCTCAGTGCCTATATTCAACTAACAATAAGCAATAAATGCACACCAAATAAGCACCTGGTACAAGCAGAGAAGTAAATCCACCCTGATGACCCACTCCAAGAACATCTTCATATGGACAAAAACGCAAGTCGGAGACAACGCCTCTGCACTTATGCACCAAATACGGTTCTCGTGCACTTCCCAAATGAGCGTTTGTGAAAATCTGAACGAACCATGTTGAGATGAAAGGAAACTCTGGACCAAAACTTGATTTTTGATTGAAATCACATTACTTCATCAATCAAACTACATATCCTCATCATATTTTCACATCATTCATTACGATTATCTCTTAACAAAACAAATCATGTGAAGTGACATAATAGTGTACAGCACGTCCTACCTGAACATTATTTCCAACAGCACA